ATATTATAGGTGCAGAAAATTGATCAGTGACGTAATCTTTCTGCAGCATCCACTGTCGTAACTCAGGACATGACCGATACGTCAAAAAGCTACAACTGACGTTTGTCGTAATGTTAGATATATGCCGTAATATTGGTTTATGTCGTAACTTCAGATGTGCATCATAATATTCGACGATATTAATCATTGTTATAGTGAAGTTTCAATATAAAGACTAATTAAAAAGCATCAAAACCGGCCTATTTAAAATTCTTCTGAAATAGACAATGAATCATTAATATTTTTACTAATGAAATAGGTCACTTCACTAAAATGAGAGTGACTTGTAAATAGTTCTTTATTATATAATGTATTAATATTATATAATGCAAATTCTCGAACAAAAAAAACTTTTCATTCAGAATATATATTGTAAAATAAAATATTTATTAATTAAATGCATTTGCCTCAAATTCTTTATTTTCTTATGAAAGTAATTAAAGATTTGAATTTTTACAATACAACATTGTCTGCTTTATTACATTAAATACAGTAATTATTTAATTTATAATTCAACACTTAAAACAGTATCAACAAGATCCTCAGGATTAAAGTCCATATCAATGTCACCTTCAATATTAAAGTCTGCAATTTCAGTAGAAAATTCAAACTGTGTGACTTCTCTATCTTGAAAGATAGGGTCTCGCAAATTTACAAAGTCTTCTAAAATTATATTAGTTTGAGATAATGAATTTGGGCTTTCTTCATATGCATCATCATTATTTCCACTTAGTTCCTCCTCATCTGTAATATAATCATCGATTGTTGCAATCTTTACCATCTCACGTAGTTCAGATTCAGTTAACTCAGTATTGAAGTAAGTAAGTTCACTTCGTATATTCGCCATGTGGTAAGACCTGATTTTTGCCATTCCTTCAAGCTTTTCAACTCCAAGACGTGTTCGTTTATCTCCAATAAACCATTTAAGGGTTGAAAAGTTTCTTTCGCAATTAGCTTGAGAAGGTGAAATGCTAAAAAGCCTTTGTGCAAGCTTAGAAAGATGATTAGGTCAACTTTTTATAGATCCCCACCACAGCATAG